TTATGCGTTGAATTTATACTATTCACATACTTTACATTTCATTTGATTTACTTGACTTATGGAACAATTGGTAATATTTATTCAAAAATTTATATATATATATATATATATAATTTGTATTGATTACATTTATTTTTCCAAGATGACTAATAATTCAAATGTAAGTGATGATGATTTTGCGATGGAGATTGTAGTCCACAATATTTACAAGTATAGACTTCAAATTGCAATGAATTTGGCTGCTCTTTTAATTACAAATAATGTGTTGAAATATGCTGTGAAAGAAAAGAAAACTAATTCAATTCTCTTTGGTTACAAGTGGCTAGTAGAGTTGATGGGGGGAAATAAAAGTAGGTTTTTTTGAGCAATTTCAAATGAGAAAAACATGTATTTCAACTTTTAGTTTAGGAGTTAACAATAACAACGGACTAACACCTACCAAATGCATTGGAGTGGATGAAAGTGTTGCATTATTCTTGTATGTCATAGGTCAAGGAGCCACATATAGACAAGTTCAAGAATGATTTCAGCACTCTAGTCAAACCATTCACAATCATTTCAAAAGAGTTTTAACATCTATATACAAGTTAGGCAATCATGTAATTAGGCCTATACTGATCCAATTTACATTGCCACTTCTCAACATATAAAAGATGATTATCAATATTGGCCTTACTTTAAAAACTACATCGGGGTAATAGATGGCACTCATACCAGTATACATGTCTTAATAGATAAGTAGGTACTTTTTTATAATAGAAAAGGATATATGAGCACAAATGTGATGGCCGTATGTTATTTTAATATGTGCTTTACATTTGCATTGTGTGGTTAGGAAGGATTTGGTCATGATGCACGAACTTTTATGGACACCCTTCGTAAACCATATTTATGATTCCTTTATCCTCCTGAAGGTTAGTATTATCTAACTTTGGGATATTTAGGTGATTTATAAAAATTTTTGTAATATTGTTTAACATTTTTTTATTTATATATAGGTAAATATTATTTCATTGACTTAGGAAACCCATCATTTAAAGGTTTCCTAGGACCATATATAGAAATACAAGGTATCATCTTGCACATTTTAGAATAGCCCCTAGCTTCAGATCAAGTGATGAAATATTTAATTTTCATCATTCTAGTTTGAGAAGTGTCAATAAGAGAACTTTTAGTGTTTGCAAGGCAAGATAGAGAATATTGCAAAATATGACTAATTTCAAGCTTGCTACTCAAATTACTATCATATGGACATGCTTTGCTCTCCATAACTATGTTAAAAAGATGGACTCAAATGACTTAGATATTCTTCAAAATTTTGATAATCTAAATGAATTACAGGATAGAGAATAACATTTTAATGATGGGGATGGTAATAATGTACTTGATCATGATGAATGGCAAGATCCAACAAAAGCAAACGTTAGATACATAGAAGAAAAAGAAATGCTATTAGAGACTAGTTGCCAAGATGAACGCGAGGCTAGATTTTTTTTGGATAATTTTTTATTTTTTTTATGATAGCAAAAACTTTGACATTTGCTTTGATGGATTGGAGTTTGGAATAATTTATTTTAAATAATATTACTTAAGTATCTACAAAATTATTAAAAACACTTTTTATCCAAACATGCTAAAAAAAGTACTTTTACATGTCCATTATTGTAATTTAACAAAAAAAAGGCACTTCTACATTGTTTTATCCAAATAGTTAAAAATCACTTTTTAAGTAAAAAGTGCTTTTTTATGATCATAACCAAATGCAAAATATTTTCTTAGTTTTTTAAAATTTCTATAAAATAAATCACTTTTTATAAAATCTCTAAACTATCTAAACATTATTTATTTTTTAATCTTAAATAAATGGGCCCTATATTAATTTAATGGTTAATAATTAGATTGTGATTGAGCCAAACCAATTATAATTAATTTAATATTTTTTTAAATAATATGTAAAATTATAAAATAAATTCCTTCATAACTATAAACTACATTTAAATAAAGAAATAGTTAACAAAAAGATAAGGAAAATTAAAATATTAACATTTTTTTAATTTATTTGAAAGAATAAAAATATGTCATGTAGATTTCATCCCCTCCATTTTTTATGAGCATAAATGTATTAAAAAATGAGATTCAATTAAAAATATTTTATATTTTTAAATGAAGGGAATATCATATAACCCTTGTTAATATTTATTTAAACTTACTTTCAAAACTATTTATCATAGAGCGATAGCCTAGGTCTGCTGAATGTAGAGGAAGAAGCATCATTAGCAGATTCAAAGATTCAAGTTCCAGGTGACGTGCTAGTGTGATGTGATATAGAGGCTTAAATAGGTGGTGACATCAGTACTAGAAATAATCTTTAATTTGTTACAGTAATACATGGTGACTACATTGCGGTGGTGGGCAACAAGTGACATGGTGCAAGGGGCTTAGAAGAATATTTTTGTTGATATTAGCAGCAAATCAGCAAGGGGATGTAAATTAGTGAGGGAACAGCCAGACATGATTGGTGACAAAATCCCTAATTAACTTTAGCAAAGGATATTTCCTGATATTTAGTAGCAGATACCCCTTGCTAATTTTGATTTGCAATTTAACGAGGGATTTAATACTAGCAAAATTGTTTTTTCCTTGTAGTAAGTGTAAAATAGAGAGGATCTGAATGTATTTTATTCTTAATTATTTATTGAACAATCTAATGATCATGCATTGCATCCTCTTGGTTTTTTTGTTTTGTTTTGATAAATAGGTAGAATTTATTTAATAGATACATACACTTTGTTCATAAAATAATGATAAAGCATATGCACGAACCACTTTTATTTAACATTAAAGTTCCAAAATTATTTAACATTGAATATGCCGTGAACGCCAATATCACTTTATTTTGGATCCTGTTTGTTTCAACTTATTTTATGAAAAGATCACTTATTTTTGAAAAAAATTTATGTTGTGAGTTTTTATTATATTTGCTTAAAATTTTAAAAATAATTAAAATTCAGAAAAAAACATTTCTAATTATTTTTAGAAGCTATTTCTAATATTTTTTAAAATAATTAAATAATAAATTATTTTTATGAAACAAAAAATCAAGGAATATATAGTAAAATTTAAAAATGAAAAAAAATTATATACTTAACCTTATATACTTAATATACTTGTTTTTAATTAAATTAATATATGTTGACTTTTTATAAATTTTTTATTCTATAATAAATTCTTGTTATTAATTTTATTAATATATTAAGTTTCATTTATCATAATTTGATTGGATATATATATATATATATTAAGTATATAAAATTAAATACATAAGTCTTACTTTTTAAAAATAACTAATTCATAATTACTTTTTTGTTATTGCAGTTAAACATAAAGGGCTTGTTTGTTTTTACTTATTTTATAAAAAAATCACTTTTTTTTAAAAAATATATCTTATGTTTGCATAACATTCATTTAAACTTTTAAAAATAATCAAAATATTAAAAAAAAAGATTTTTGACTATTGAAATATGTTAGATGAGGAAAAGTATTTTAAAGAGGCGAGATAAATAAATATATTATAAAATTTCAAAATAACATAAATAAATAATTTTTATAAAATAAAAATCAAAGAAGATATTATAAAATTTAAAAATAACTAACTAATTATCACTTTTTATTATGGAAATCAAATATAAAATAATATTTGCTTTTTATAAAATCTCTATAAAATAAATCTCTTTTTATACATCTCTAAACAATTTAAAAGTTATTTATTTTTTAATCTTAAACAAATGGGTCTAAAATAATTATTTTATTTTTATAAAATCTTTACAAAATAAATCTCTTTTTATAGAATCTCTAAATTATATAAAAATTACTTTTTTTTAATGTTAAACGAACGGGCCACAAGACTTACCTCATTGGAAGCAGAACAATTTATCGAATAAGGTCAATGCAGTAAGATAAAAGCTAAAATTAATATTAAAAAATGTTACAATTTCCCAATTATGCTATTTAATTATAATTAGAAATGAAAGAAAACGTAATTTGATTAAAACAAAACATTTTAACTTTTTAATAATATATATTACGAATCTTGAGTTATTATTGTTTTAAGTTATTTATTTAACTATACATATATATGATTCCTTAATCAGAGAAGGTAAAAGAAAAAATTAAAGTTAAAATTAATTATTACGTTATCTTTCTATTTACATTCCTTAAATATTCTGTAGTTAAACGAATTTTATATTTTTGTTTCAAAAATTAAATAGTGTTTTATTCAATTCCAAATCAAATTGATTGATTCTGGATTCTAATATATCATGTGAAGATATCAATTCATCCTTATAATTATGTTTCCAATTTGTTATACTCCTTCCATTAAAAAATGTGAGGTATTTTTAATCGAATCTCACCTTCCAATAAAGTAGTTACTTACTTTTCAACTAACCCTATTTTTTTCATATTTATTTCTATTAAACATCCTACAATAAATATAAAGTCTTTATTAATAGGGGCACTTTTGAAAAAAGACAATGATTACACTTCAAAAGACTAAAAATGCCTTACATATTTGAACATCTAATTCCTTAAAAAATATTTTACATTTTTGAACGGACTTCATATGATAACAATTGTTTTTTTGAATGTATATACGATACAAATTTGTTGCAACTTACTTGCTCTTCTTTTTCTTTTTCTTTTTTAAGAATATTAAACCTGATCTATACTTTAAATTTTTAATCATTTATCATTTATTAATTTATTGAATTATCGTGTCAAATTAAAATTTAAAAGGGTGATATATCAATAATCAATAAATTAATATATTTTAAAAGTTAAATAAATAAATATCCAAAGAGATAATATATATCTTTATCTGCACCACGATCTAAGGTTATATATACCCACACACATAAAGTTGGGGTGTGCTAGATCTTTTACAGCAAAGCCCAAGGAAAATTGCAACAACGTTATTTTCTTTTTCCCATCAATCAATGAAGATGTCGTCGGCGAAAAGCTCGTCATGTTTAGTATTATTGTTGGTGTTGATATATTATCTTGCTGCGTTAATATCTTTCTCTCACAGTTTGCCTCTATCAACAAACAAGAGATGGATCGTGGACGAAGAAACAGGGAAACGTGTGAAACTAGTTTGTGCTCACTGGGTTGGTCATCTCTCTCCAATGCTGGTCGAGGGTTTGGACAAATCGCCATTGAATGAGATTGTTTCTCAGTTTCATGATAAAGGCTTCAATTGTGTTCGTCTCTCTTACTCAACCTACTTGTTCACTCGTTATGCCAATCAATCTGCTGCAGAAACCCTAGCTGGTTTGGATTTACCAGAGGCCAATGTTAAAGCTGCCATAGCCAAACACAATCCTTGGGTCTTGAACATGACTCATCTTGAGGCTTATGAAGCTGTGGTTGATGCTCTGGATAAAAATGGCGTCATGATAATCATCGATAATCATGTTATTATGCCAAATTGGTGCTGTGATAGAGATGATGGTAATGGATTCTTTGGAGATCGACACTTTGATCCTCATGAATGGCTTCGAGGGTTAGATTTTGTGGCCACTCACTTCAAGGCAAAACCACATGTAAGTTGATTAACTAATTTATCTTTCAATGATTTCTTTAATTTGTGATATTTTTTTTTCCCTTTCTGCTTTACTAATTAAGTTATATTATTGATAAAAAGTATTCATAAGAAAAAAAAATTCTGATATGGACATATAAATTTAAATATATAACATATGTATGACTGTTTTTCAAGTTCATGACTAATATTATATGATTATTTTTGAATAGACAGTTGATAGCGTAGATCAGGGGGAAAAAAAAAGCATATTGTGCTTTCTCTTGAGGAAAATCTGTTTTAATTTCTCTTTCTAGTTACATATATTATATGATTAGTTTTTATATATTAAAAGTGGCAGATGTATATAAAATTGGATAGGGTAAATATCGATTCAATACATATGGGTCTCACTGCAAATCGAACCCATTAAATTTTCGTCAAGTTCTTCATAATTTCTTTTTTCCTTTGGATCATTAGTTTTCATATAAATTAAGAGACATTTTATTATTTTAAAATCTTAAAACGGTGATGATTTATTTTTTTTAACGGTTACACCCTTTCATTTTTGAAAAATATTAAAAAATACAATTCGTCGAGATTTCAAAATGTCTATCTAAAGGAAAAAGAAAAATGAAATTAAAAAGTTGGAACAGGGGTCATCAGGTGTATTAGAGCCCCTGTCCTTCTCGCTAAATGCACCGCAAAGTTTTGACTTTTGACAGAGACTTGATTTGAAGGTGATCTAAACTGGTATTCTTTTTCAGGTGATAGCTGTGGACTTGAGAAACGAGCTGAGAGGTGCAAGACAAAACAAGCATGATTGGTACGAGTACATGGGAAAAGGGGCAAGAACAATTCACGAAGCAAACCCAAAAGTATTAGTTATAATTTCAGGTTTAAACTTTGACAGTGATTTCACTTTCTTGAAGAACAAGAGCCTTGACTTGGAACAAGATTTGGTACGGAACAAACTTGTGTACGAGGTACATTTGTACTCATTCACAGGACCAGCACAACAAAGGTGGACGATTCAGCCATTGAACAGAATCTGTGCTGATACCATTGAATCAGTGAAGGACCAGTCTGCGTTTCTGATGAGTGGCGAGAACGCAGCACCGTTGTTTGTGAGTGAATTTGGGTACGACATGAGAGGGTTGACTCCGTTGGACAACAACTTCGTACCGTGCTTCACGGCGTACGCTGCGGCGGCGGACTTGGATTGGAGCTTGTGGGCTTTTGGAGGAAGCTACTATGAAAGACAAGGGCAGATTGGACTTGAAGAGGCTTATGCTGTGTTGGATGGCACTTGGAAAAACTACAGGGACCCAAATTTTACTGAGAAATTTCAGCTTCTTCAAAGACTCGTTCAAGGTGTATATACATCTCTCTCTCTCTCACACACACACGCACGCACACATTTACCTGCTGAAATCAAACTCTTTGGTACTACAAACTCCAAATTCTCCAAACCCTTTGAACTTGCGCAATTAACCCTGTCGATGAGATTAAGTACTTTAATATTTGTTCACCTTGAAGGATTTTATACTAAATTTGTGCAATTACTAAATTTGAAGTAGTGTAATACAAATAAGGCTCTTATCATATACTCGTAGATCGATTGAGCTGTTCTCATATACTATTTAATATCACATAGGAGAGTTTAATTAGTCTTAGATTTTGAAGGTCGAGGGTTAATTATGTTGGTGAGAAAATCAAAGGAGATTATTTAAATTGCATATAATCTGATTACATAACACACCAAAACATACCAACTCTATTTTCCCAAAAAATCGATAGTTTGACTTGTAAAAAGTTATGAAATGAGGAAGGCTAAAGTGGTTTGGATTTTGTTTTTCTCTTGAGCAAGATCTCATGTCTGGTTCAATTAGTTAGGACCAATGCCACTTTTGGAACGCTTTTGATATCAACAACAGAGAAATTCAAGCCTCCCAATTACAGGAAATAAAATTACTAAATCAGTAGAGTTATTGATTATTACTATATCGCATCTGCTTTTTCTCTTCAAGAAGTTTTAAGCTCCTTTAGGTGGATATGCTTTCTTTCTGTTTTCTGATTACTTTTTCACGGATCATTACTAGAAAAATGTGAATTAGTGAGGAAATTGGCAAAGGATGCTGATTTCGTAACTAGACTTAAAATTAATGAGGAAATAGTGGGAGAATGTTAATCCCTCTCTAAAATAAAATAATTAGTTAGGGATTCTGTCCCTAGCTAATTACGTCAAAAAAATTAACTTTTAAAAATGACTTTTAATTAATTATATATTTAATTATTTTTATTTAAAAAATAAAAATCAAATTTGAAAGTCAACAAATATTCATAATAAAATTATTTAATATTTAATATTTGCTTTATTTTAAGTTTATTTTCCTTATAAAATTAATATTTTTATTAAAAAATGACATAAAGAGTTATATAAATATTTTTAAAATATTAATAATTGAAAATATAATATCATATACATGTGTATTTTTATAATATATTATTTAATATGTCTGTATAATTAAAAAATATATATTTAATTTCTCATATAATAACTACAAGTACATTTCAATTCAACTAGCAAAAAAGTGAGAACATAAGGCTTAGGGATGATAGGAGGTCAAGAGTTCATGTCTTGGCCTTAGCATAAACATAATGGATATGTGGTATGGTTGTTAATAAGTGATATGACGCTAGGTGGAGGATGGCATGGCATGAGTCGTCACACATGTGACAGGTGATGAGGCATAGGATGCTAGATAACATGGCATGAGCTAATCACATGTGAAAGATGATGTGACATTAGGTAGATATTTTAAATATAGGCATGTTTAGCAAGGAATCAAATTCCTTCCTAAATTGGTGAATGAATGTATTTTGTCATTAAATTTAGTGAAGCTATTTTTTGCAATGAAATTAGTGAGGGATCAAATCCCTCACTAAATTCCATTTAGCAAGGGATTCATCCCTTACAAAATTGATTTTTTCTAGTAATCAATATTTTGTTTTTGTTTTTCAATGGGTATCACAATTTATGAATGTGATTCAATAAGCTTCAATCATCGTTCATTTGTTGCAAAGATTGATGAGAAGAAAATTATCTTTTTCATACTATTCAAATTAAAATATTTTAAATATATGAATTTTCATATATAATATTTTAAATCTAAAATACAATTCTATATATCCAAATACATTCTTAGTGAATTTTCCAGTGTTATCAGAACCATACCAACTAGTACAATTGAGAATCGACCTATGGTCAAGTCCCAAACTAGGAGAAAATGAATTGGTCAAGAACTGGTAGATGAAAAACGAGTCATAACTAGCCAAGAATTAGTTTTCATATTTTTTTAAAAAATCTCAATAACCTAAAATTATGTTGTTTTAAGTAAATAAATATGCAATATTGTCATATGAGCAAATTTGTTAAACATCTATATCACTGCTCTTCAAAAGATCATGAATGAAAAAGAATTTTGGAGAAAGATGTTTTGTTCTATCTCCTTTGTTGTATTCTCCTTTCAATTGTGCCATGCACGCTATATTATCTTCATATAATATTGTTGGAATTCTTTGTTTCAAAAATAAACCACACATCTTTTGGATATGCTAGAATGTCATTAAACTTAGCCAAAGACATTATCTACTTGTCTTATAAATTACAATTATTTATGCATGATTTGATAAGGTAGAAGTTAAAGTTTGTTTTGTTGAACTCCAAGATATTGTTGCACCTCCACAAGTAAATAAATATCCAATTTAGGGTATGCCTTTATGTGGATCTGATAGGAATCTTGCATCTGCATAACCAATAACTTGTGATCCAATTCATTAGAATAAACAAATCCCAGATCAATTATCCCTCAAAGATATCAAAATATGTGTTTATTGATTCCATTCCAATATTTTTATTTGTTGGGGAAGAACTAAATCTTGTTAGTAAATTTATAACAAATGCAATATCAAGTCTTGCTGAATTAGCAAGATATATTAGTGCACCAATAGTACTAAGATATGGTACTTTAGGACTAAGAAGTTATTCATCTTCTCTTAAGGGGAAAAGGGATCCTTTTTTTTCCATCAAGAAATCCATGTAATTTCTTTGTCTAGATACTTATTTTCCCCCTAATGTTAGAAAAATTATTTTTTCAAAAAGGGAATCATCAAAACATGCCTTGAATAGATCTTACTACTATAAAATTGAGAACTAATGTCATCTTTTAACATTGGTTATGCCAAAAACTAATGTTAAAAAAGGTAGTGGCATGGTTGTAATTTTTGGCATGACAATCGACGCCAGTTTAATAAGCAATTGATGTAAATAAAGGTCACCATATTAGTTATATTAATAATTGATGTGGTAATTTTCCAAATAATAAAAAAATTTTAAAAAGAAAATTTTGGGTTTCCTATGTCAATTATATATATAACCGACATTATCCCACCATCCTTTAAGTTGCCCAAAAAATCTTGCAATAAGGAGGTTTCTAAATTACTAAGGCATTCTACCTCTTTAGTACCCCTGACCATGCCTTCAATAATACTCAGATATAAGGAGAGTGCCTGAAACGGGGAGAGGGAAAAGAAGAATAGAGGAGAGAAATAGGAGGTAGACAGATTGTTGGGTTAGATTGCAACACTAATAACAATAATAATGTAGAAAAATAAAGAACTAAAGTAATGCCAAAACAACAGTAACCCATACAATCTAGACAAAAGATGTAGAAAGTAAAGAACTAGAATTTAAAACAATGCCAGAATGGCAGTAGTCAACATAATCTAGACAAAGACAAAAATTGAAGTACGAGAAAATAAATACAGAAGTACAAGAAAGTAAAGAAGATTAATGGAAGAATTTATTGAAGATGAAAAAGGAGGTTTACAAAGAGGACTTTCTCTCTCTCTCTCTCTCTCTCAAGACTTCCCTTTCTCTCTATTAAAGCTTGCCCTTAAAAGGGACCTACATGGGTTTATATAGACCTTGAAAAACTATCCAACGGTCAAGATTTGTTTAATTTAACAATTTACATTTCATCTAATTGTCTTCATCAGATGGTCAGCAATTTGCCATCGAGTTAGCATCTGACGGACAATATCTTGCCATCAAGTTAGCATCTGATGGTCAATAATGATCAATAAGTCAACAGTCAATGGTCAATGATCAATGGTCAATGGTCAACGGGTTAGCTTTTTTTTTTTACTAATCTTCTATAAAGTTTATTCCAAAGTAGTCATCTTCATTTTCTTATGCATAATTTTCTTCCTTTGGAGTTTTTAAAGTAGAAGCAAGGGCAGAGGCAGAGGCTTAACAGACTATCCTTCTCTTTCTAGTAAAAAGAATGCATTTTTTAATTGGTTAATAAAAGTTTGTTTGTCTGAGGTTGAAGTGAAGCATGCATGTATCTAGCTTTTTTAGTTGAGAAACATATTAGTTTTTGAGGTTATGAACCATTGGGGGTTCTTTTTGAACCATGTTGGACCATAGAGACATTCTTTGAAGTCTGCAAATGATCTCATATACGGAATCCTTTAGAGAATAGGAAATTCACTAGGTGGATTGGTATATTTGTAATGCTTGGAAAATATCCATGATAGAGATAATTTTGATGAAAAATGTAAAAGAATCAAAAGGGATCATCTACAAGGTTAATTTTTGATTTGAAATTTGAAAACCCTTGTTTAATGGTAGGAGGTAAAATTTCTTCAATAAATCCAAAGTAATCTCACCATTTAATGAACCATTGGGGAAACTTATAAGGATCACAGTCCCTTTTGAAATAAAGGAACCACGTGTGATGCCGGTATTTATTTTGGTACCAAAATGTATTGTACTAGACTTCAACGTAATCCCAATAGTTATAGCCTATTGGATTAAAGGTAATAGAGAATTTCTTTAGTTCACTAGTGTTTTAGCCTTAATTAGCAAGAGTAAGGATCTTTTTAATTTGAAGTGTAGAATGGGTCTAAATTGACGGGTCTTTTATCCCATTCTTTTCTTCAAGGTTGTGTCGTAAGGTTATAGAATCGATGTCTACTATGATAAGTTCATAAAATTGTTGGGTTTTATTCAAGGCTCTCGGCTTGAAGTGGAACCTTAGAGGAAAGATTTTTGGGACTATAAGATTTGGATTTTTGGGAAAAAAATTCAAGTTCAATTTGGATAATATCTGTGGCTTTATTAAGCCGTGGGATATAACTGGTTTTAGTTTTTTGAACTGGTTAGGGTAATTTGGCCACCTGCCTATTTCTTAGATTGGCAACAGTGACTTGTTTATTTTTTAGGTTTTCAATGAGCTAGCTAGAAAATGTTTATGAAGTTTAAATCTTCTTCCTCAGCAATATCTGCCTATATTTGTTTAGATAGATTGGCTAATCCTTACAATGCTAAGGCTAGAATAGTTTCAATGGGAAAGGCATATACTTCTAGGGTTGCTGTTTGGGTGGTTGATTTTGAAGAGGTTGGTATTTCTTGGTTGGGAGTTTTTAGGGTAGATGACTCTGCCTTTTTGGTTAATGGTTGAGTTGATGACTCATTTAGAATTTGGGTCAATGACTTTGTTAACAATAGTGC